TAAGCAGGGAGGCAAAGTGGGCAAAGTGGTCCCATTCTTGTACATGGCAGCACATGTGGAAAAAAAAAAAGAATAAATGGGTTTAACTGCTGACCGTTTAAGACTTAACGGTCAGCAGTGATGGCAACATTAACGGTGTTAGGGGAGGGACGACAACGAACAAAAAAAACGAAGTAAAGGGACGACGTTTTGGGTAGAGTAGAGGGACGACAACGAACATGTCCTTAGTAGAGGGACAAGAACGAATAAAATATTAAAGTAGAGGGACGACAATTGGCTTTAAACCTCTTTTGTTTCTGGGCCAAAAATAATAATAAAAGATTGAAAGCTTCACATGCCAAGATCCCAATGCCTGCTCAAAAGAGGGTAAAAATCAACATTTAACCCTTTATTTTATAAATTTGGTAGGTTTTAACTTTTTATTTTACAAAATTGATAGGTTTTAACTCTTCACCTTATATTATGACATTTTTAACCCCTCACCTATATGAATTGAAGAAAATAACTCTCACCTAATATTAAGTTATAACATTTTGTTAATTCTGTTAGTTGACTGTGAACATCTGTTAGCATTTCTTTATAGAAAATATGAAATTTAATTTTAATTTTATTTGTTAATTCAATTTTATTTGTTAGTTTTATTAATGGAATTCTAACGGATGCTAACAGTCAGTTAACAGAACTAACAGTCAGCTAACAGAATTGATAGTCAATTAGCAGAACTAATAGAATATTATAACCTGATATTAAGTGAAAGTTATTTTATTCAATTCATATAAATAAGTGGTTAAAAGTATTATAATATAAGGTGAGAGATTAAAACTTACTAATTTTGTAAGATGAGGGGTTAAAACATACCAACTTTATAAGATAAATGACTAAAAGTGTCATATTATAAGATTAGAAGCTAAGATTAGAAGTGAAATCTACCAATTTAATTTAATAAGGTGAAGGCCTAAAAGTTGGTTTTAGCTCCCAAAAGAGAGAATAAAAAGACTAGCAATAGGGGAATTACTTTAATTAAAGTTCTTTTAAGGAAAATGAATTAATAAGAGTACAAAACTTTAATTACTGATAGTATTAGGATTGATTGAATTGAATTGTCCAAAAAAATTTTAGAAGAATTTTTCATTTTGAAGCGTTCTACTATTATTCTAATTTTGGTTAATTTGATCAATAATGTTGTCAATTACATACTGGTGTTGTTATCACTAAAATACAACAATTGAAAAAAGAGGAAATCCTTTATCATAAATTTATTAGATATTTCTTCAGTATCAAGTATAGACTTAATTTTAAATTTTAAGTAAAAATTTTCTTAAAAAATTCATTATAAATATATCTAGAATTTTTATAATGTCTATAATATTGATTTATTTGCTACTATTAAAGATATTAGTATAGTATGAGCTATGAAAAAGGCAAAAATATTAATAATAAGTTAAGGACACATGGAAATTCATTAATAGTAGATTTTTTAGTACATAAAATCAAAAATATTTTGAAAAGAATGTGCATTTACAAGAACTCAAATGTAGGAAAAACTTATAGAAATTTTATAATTATTAGAACTTTAAAAAATTCATAGATAAATCAAATATAGAAAAAAAAAATCACATCCTCCTTCTTGCTAAACAATCATTCTACATTGGGAGTGCTATTTCATCTCTTTTTGCCATTCTCTTATTTCTTCTCTCTTTATTTTGTGTATGAGAAGCTCTTGTTCCATAATCACAGCTTTCATCGATTGGTTCTTGATTAATTGGGTTATTAGGATTTATAAAATCATGAAGGAAAACTGTACAAGGAACAAGAGGCTAGCTAGAGTAACCATGGCAAGTTTTACATAGAAGATCAACAAAACTTAAATCTTTTAAGAATTACGCTGCAATGTAATAGGAGTACATGAAAAGAAGTTCCAAATCCTGAAATTTCTTTCTGATGAAAGACACACCAATAGTATTCACGAACAGAAAAAGCTAAATGCTAAACACTTGTAAAGGTCTTGTGGCAGCTAAGACATCAAACAAACTCGCAAGGGAGATACCACCAATTAACCACAATTGCATTAGCTTCTTTACTAATCTTCATATCTCAGACAACTTTTAGCAGGAGAGTTGGAAGCAACTGCTTCCCATCTTCCAACGTCATATTATAATCAAACCGAAGAAGGAAATGAAGATGTTCAATAATGAAGGTGAAATCAATAAATAGCTAGCTTGCAACTATATTTAATAACAAAAATAACAAAAAGGCAACTTTTTGTTAGGCTGGCAAGAAGGGGATATATCACAACCATAGACCTGGGATGAATCCATGTTCATCAAATTTTGGTTTTATGAGCAGACAAAGGACTATATTTAATGGATACCAAGCTGCCAATTTAGGGACAAAAAGGCAAACTCCCCCAACAAGGCAATAACCCAAGATATCAAGATAATGAAGACAATAAAAGCCAACTGCACAAATTTTTTAATGATTTTATAGCCATATTGATGTTGCAACAAACAACTCTACCCATCCAGACTCTCTATAATGTTTGAATATAGATGCATAAATAAATACAATAAAGTTCAATACGATCATCATTTTTAAATGAACATTTAGATGCAAAATACACCAGGAAAAGCTATCTAGAAAGACATCAAAACACCTGTTTAAGAAACAGGAACTCCCTTAAC